CCTCTCACCTTAGGTTATTCTTAAGCCTGGACAAGAAAAAATACCCTTTTTCTCCCCAAAAGAAACAGGAGAAAGGAATTCAGTGCAACTCTGAAAACAACTCACTGTGGACAACTTCTCTGAAGCTGCAAATCTTTCAGGATGATTTAAACAAAAGCAGGATCATAATTTAGTAATTTCAATGCCTTACGATCAGAACAGGCCTGCTGGGGCTGGGGGAACTTTTCCATAAAGCCAACAACCACCACCACGTTTTGAGTTTCTAGAGGACACGGAGAACGAAGCTGTAGCTTTCACTGCCTCGTGTCCCAGAAAAATACGTTACTGCAGTCAATGCACCCAAGAAGCGAGAAATAAAACCACACCTAGAAGCCATCACTTATTTACAAAGCTCAGGGATGTCTTGAAGGGTTTGCACGTGACTGATGCTACTATCCATTTTTCCGTCTCCTGCATAAAGCACTAATGCACGGGCACCCTGCTAGGCCCAGGCCAGCAGGACAGCCGCCGGGATGCAGGGCCAGGCAACAACAGAGACAAACATCTAATCATGTTAAGGGCAAATTTCGTCAATCCATTCACTGTGGTATCAAAGCAGATGCTAAAACAACTAATTGCATGTTCCAATAACCAACTCCCAGCTACCCCCACCCCGATCACCCCACGTTCCTGCGGTTTCAGGGAAAAAAAGGATGAATCATGAGACGCCGAAACGCAAATCACGCCCTGATGATCTCTGAAGGGCTGCCTGCACAAGGCACCTCTGCCCTGCCTTTCTGGCTGCCTGAGCCTGTCCAGATTTCAGCAGCGGCGGTGCCGGGGAGATTTGCCCCCTTGTCTGAAAACACACTCATTACTTCATTGGGAAAACAGCGCCTGGCGGGATTTGTAATGAAAATAAAAAAAAAAAAAATTCAGCCAGCTGGCCAATTCTAGTAATAACATCAATTCAGATTTTTTTTTTCCTCCCAAACAGCAGCGGAATATTTAAGGAAACACAAAAGCTGTTTTCTTGGCAGAAGCCCAACCTCACTGCAGGCCGGGGGCGGCGGCTGGCACCCAGCCAGCAGCTGCAGATCGCCAGAGGGGTGTGGGGAGGGGAGCTGGACCCCTCCTCTGCCCACCGTGAGCAGCTAGTGAAGCGGACAGTTTCTGCCCTTTTTCACCACCTGCTCTCCAGACACCTCCATTTTATGTATCCCTCCCCGCCCCTCAGGAGGTTGTTTTGCTGCTGGAAGGTGCCAAGTTGTGTTTGGCAACTTCCCGTCGCGATGCTGAGTGCCAAAGCCGTTGGAAACCCACTGGTGAACAGTGGAGGCAGAATTTAGCTAGTTAATTAACAGCACAGACTGTCCCCAAGGTAATCTTTTATTTTTATTTAGCTTGCAAGCACCTCTGAGATCAAAGCCAGACTGCAGCTCCAGTTTAATTATTTTTTCTGTGAAATCAGAAGGGGTTTGGTCCCCCCCTCCGGCCCGTTCCACATGTAATTTAACAACACTTGCCTTTGAAACCTTGTGCACGGAAGAAAGGTGAGGAAAACCCACTTACGTTAGCTGAGGGTAATTTACATACTGTAAACTTGACGATTATTCCTTTTAGCGAGGATGTGTTTTTTCTTCCCTCTGATCTGCACAGTACAAAACATCTCAAATATAAACAGATTAAAAAAAAAAAACCAATAGCTTTTTGCCTCCTACATCAAGTGTTTGATACTACTCCTGGCAATTCACAGGATAGTGCTTTCACGGCAGACAAGCAGATTTTTTTCAGTGCGGCTTCCTTCAATTCAGAAGGGTTGAGTTTTTTTGGTAAAGGACTCCTTAGACTAAAAAAAATAAATATATATATCTATATATATATGACTGCTTTTCATAAAGGACTCCTTAGACTAAAGAAAAATATATATCCTACCTTAAAAGTCCCCATTTTATCCTTTCTAGGCATTCAGAAAGAAGCTGAACTGGGTTAAAGCCATAACACTATGGGCTTCCCTGAGCCCCAAGATCCCACTATTTAAGTTTGACTCCACAACCAAGAGGGTGAAAATGCAGGCTTCACAGTTCCAGGAAACCACATTACTTCGAGGACTTGGCCATGAGCAGAAATACCAAATATGAGCAGAAATATCAAATAAACCTGTGCCTGTGCAATGCTACACGAACAGAGGAGGGTCCTTCACAACCAGGCATCTGTTCCCCTCCCCATGCAAAGCTGCAGTGGAGCACTAAGTGCCCCCTTTTAAGAAATAGCACGTAGTATTAAATATTATTCCCATAACTCCAATGATACATAACAGTAAAGCTGTTGCTGCTTGAAACATAATATTTTGGCAAAACAGGGTACAGTATAAATTGAAGTTAAACAACAACAGATGTGTTAATTTTAGCCTCAGTTGTGTAACAGCAGCAAAAATGAGCATATGCCTACAGCTGTGGGATGAGTTCACTAAAGAAATTCAAAGAGTACATCCAAAAGCAGAAGATTGGGTGTGGTTTTTTTATTCTTTTTTAAATTACATAGTGTCACTTGTAAATTGTCTGATACCCTTTTACACTGAAAGGGCCTGGGAAATGTTAAACCACAGTCTCCTGGGACAAACGCAACAGTGGTGTGATCTGACAGATGTCAGTGCAGAACTACTGAAGGTATTCTTTTTCTTCTAGGAAGAAAGTTGAGGGACAACACAAGCCAGGCAGAAAGTCAGCCAAGATATCCTCCAGCAGAGACGGTGCTCCACGGGAGCCAGCCTGGCAGCTCGCTGCCCTCACCCCACCCAACAGCTCAGCTCCCAACCAGGTGACCTCCAGCTCCACTTCTCCTCCAGAAAGCACTGATGCAGAAGTGTCCGGGGAGCCTGGGTCACTAGTGGGACCGAGGCTTGGAGGTGGCAAGGACAGAAGCAGGGGGTTGATATCCAGGCTCTTTGCCCCCTTGCTCTTAGAGGAGCCCCCAGAGACAGCTTGGTAGCCTGTACGTGGTGCACAGAGACCATGGTGGCAGAGTGTTTGGGTTTTACCCAGTCCAAGCTCTGCCACCCTGAGCAGGCTCAGGAACCAGTGTTGGAAGAGAAGATGAGAGCCGCTGCTGGGACAGGGCAGGCTTCACCATGGATACAGCATTTGCTTTTTATGTTCCAAAACAAGCTACATTATTTTTGTTCACGCTTAATTATTATACCAGCACGCAGGTTTTTGCCCCCAATGAGGAAGGCATCCTATTTAAAGTGGGATCTGCATTCTCAACCCTTCCAGATCTCCTGGTTATTTAAAGAGGAGCCTACTTCCAAGCCCAGCTTCCCATCCGAGACCCGGAGGAGCTGTCCGACTTGTGTCCTTGTGCCAAGGTCATGCCTCCATCAGGCCTGGTAAACATCCCCAGGCTCTGACCAGCTACAGCAAGGGCACAAAACCTCGCTCTGCAGAAGAGCCAAGACTCATCTCTAGTTAGCTGCATAAGCGCACAAGTGACATGCCATCTGAAGTGGGAGCAGTTCCCCTCAGGAGGTGACCAAGAAGTCACAATCTGCACAGTAGTCGGTGAAAGGCAACTCCAGAGACAACGTCTGTCCTCCCAAGCGATGTCTTAAGCGCTGCAGGCATGCTCAGTCCCTGCCACAAGGTAAAAGTACCTCCCCTCCTGAAGAGTGAAAAAGGCCCCAGGCAGAGGAGAAGTCCTTGGTCTTCCCACCTGCACCCTTTCAGCAGCCCTCCCCAGCACAGAGGCTGACATTTCAAAGGTCAGTCTCAGATAGGCACACAGAGGATGCTCAAGGTGGCCCAGTGTGTCACTGTCCTTAAAGCCACTTTTGCAGCTAGAAGGTTATTTTCATAACCAAGGCAGAAAGAGGTAACATGTCTCGGGGAACCTAGACTTCTAAACCAAGTGTGCCATGAGGACTGCAAAATGCCT